GGCAGTGGTTTCGTCAATTTTCCTGTTTGTTTGTTTTTTGTAATCACTTAAATGATAAAAATGTAAAATCTCAGATTACAGTGTTTTGTTGGAGAATGTCAGAAAAGCCAACAGTTTTCATATGATGTATTTCTTTTCTTCAAGAGTGTAAATAACAATCTGGGGTTCAAAGGTAGCACAATGACAAAGTGCTTCTTCCCTATATTGTTTCCTCAGTATAGTCTCCACTCCTGTGAAGCATATTACAAATTAGCATTTAAGCTTAGTAAAGACTGTAATCATGGAAATTATGGCTGGTAATGCATTGTGTGATGCTAACATTAATCTGCTGATTAATGCTGCTGCGAGTAGGCAGTTCATGAATACCTAGTAGCTATTTTTCTGTCAGTGCTGGCGCAGCTCTGTGTTACATTTAGGATTTAGTACTTTGCTGAAGACTTTTTAAACAGCTTAACTGTGACTAAACTAAAGGCCAACTGTTCAAACAAAGGTCTGTCCTTTGCCTTCATGAAAACAAGTTGTGGCATCATTCAGGGTTCACGTCCCAGAATTAATGCACACATCTGTAGGATGCATAAATACTGGTAATAAGATCATTTTTAAACTCATGGACTTGAAAATTAGGAGAACATAATTGAGTTTACATAGGTTGAAAGAAATATTGTGTGACTCTAAACAACTTAAGGTTCTGAATTCTGGAGAATAAATAAAAAGCAGAAAATTTTTTGAACTTGAAATAAAGTGATGTTATTTGATATGCAGGGTATCCAGTATGTATTTTATTGTAAGTAAGTGCTGCCTGAGGTGGGTGGGAAGTCGGGTACAGATACTTAAAGGAGCTGGAGGGAGTGAGTATGCTTGATTAAATGGAGATTTGGGGGTGACAATTTAATAGAAGAAAGTAATTTGACCATGGGGAAAAGGTGCAGGATGAATGTGTGGAACAGTGATCGGATTAAAAAAGAAACTGGATAACTGGCTATAGAGAAATAATAAGTGTACATCTGGAGCCAAGGGGATGTGCCCTTCTTGTTTGAACCTCAGCTATATTTTCATTATGCTGCGGTGGGTAATGTCAAGATTTGCATTAATTAAACTGCAGCGGGGGGGTGGTTATCTTGGAGTAGGAGCAGCATAGCTGTGCCTTTAGGCTCCTAGGAAGTCTGTTTTATGATTTTCATCCATCATTTTGTACATCATTCTTTTGTGTCTAAATCATTTGGTATGAGGGATTTACCTGCCATGCTCATTTTCTACACAAGAAATGTAACCTTTGACACGTATTAAGACATTGTTTGACTGATCCACATATAGAAGAATGTAAAGTATTTAATGTTTGGAGCATTTTTCTATTTCTTGAAAGCTTTACTTACTCTGTTTAAAGCTTCTTTTGGCCTTTATAATGTATTTAGCTCTTTGATTTAGTTCTCTCCACTGGTACACACACACACACACACAGACATCCACGATACTCTTTTTAATCCAAAAAAATAAATTGAAAGGTGTCCTTTTATCACAAAAACATTAAAATTGTTAATACATTCAGTTTAAGATAAACTATTATCAGAAAATTGCAGTTACAATACAAAAATGCATTTTATACTCATAGCATCCTTCACACACATCCTTGTTTTACCTTTTTGTTTTAATTTTTAAAAACAGGAATATAGGATAATATTGGTATCGGAGTTAGTTTTTTGTATTATCAAAATGGTTGTATTTGTATTTTTTAGTTGTTCTCATTTTTTTCTCAGTCTAATTCCAGGTACTTTCTACAATGGGTTTGCTCATTTCAGTTTGAAGATGTTTCACCTTAGTTTAGTTTCAGTGCTACTTTTGAATGTTTTGTGGTATTTTTAGATTTGGGCAAATTTAAAAAGTTTAGAATGAATGCTGTATTACAATACAAATGTAAAACATTTTGAAGATTCAGTCATGAACATCCCTAATGCCAAGGATCTTCTTCAAGCAGGTGTGATGCAAACATGACCAAATTAACAGAGTAAAACTGAAGGTATTTGCTGTTTTTATTCTTATTTTAATGTTGTGAGTACACAGTATTGTTTAAGTTTTTGTTAATCTGCTTTTTACTTTTCTTTGAATTAGTGAAAAAAAATTTTCACATATTACTTTGTTTTGGTAATTGTGATTAACACAATAGAAAAATGCAAAGAAGCTCTATGCAAGATGAAAATGGGCTATTCTGTACTTCAGAGTCAAAATGCTGGTGATAGAGGTGAAACTGAGCATTAAGCATTGGCTGCACTTACCAACATCCTTGACAGTACATTTTATATTTGCATGAATAACACCAGCCTCATTTATAATATCTCATTGGAGCTGTTATGCGCACGCTAATGCGTAACAAATGACTGCAAAACATTCTCTCCCCTAAATCACCCGCGCACACATTATACCCTACAGCTTTATTCTAACAGACTGACAGCCTGAAATATTAAAAGCACTCCAGCATGGATCTTTTGTGTCCAATCTTATCAATCCCATGTATTGTAATAGTAAATGTGACTTGGCTGTCAGCATCTTGTGAAGTGTATCTGACATGCTCTTGTTGATAACTATCAGGTTATTTTCTTTGCCTCACAGCAGCGCAGGCTGTAATCTGCTGCTTACAGACAAAGTGGAAAAGGAAGGGTTGACTTTGAATTATCCCACCACCCCACACCCCACTTCCTTGTTATGTTTGCCTTTGCTTGTAGTTTTTATTTTTCTAGAATATTTTGCCAGCAAACAGCTTGCCTTTTTTAGCCTCCATTGTTTGAGAAACCCTGGCTGATCATGTTGATTTCTGTGAGTAAAGTAACCAAATGCCTTTGACATTGTCGAGACAGGCGCGTCATGGGTTTAGCAGATTCAGCGCTGTCACAGATTGACAAATCTTTACAAAAAGCTCCTCTTTAAGATTTACTAGTGCGACATCAGTGTCATAATAGGAGATACTTTAAACTTCAGCTTCATTAAAATTCATCTTGAATTAAAACCCATATAAGTTATCTTTTTTGATAACAGTGGCTGATCAGCTTCCACTTCAAGTGCAGACACTAGGCTCAGAGCAGCACAACGATGGCACCACATAACATAATCTACTCCTACACATTTCATTTGGCTTCTGATACTGCACCTCCTATCAAAAACCCTCCAGAATGTCTCCACCCTGTCTTTTATCTGAGTACTTTCTACAGCCTGTGTTGCAGCCTGCAACACATCTCTGGGAACAGAGGGAAAAAAGGGACGTGATATTGGTGGGGAGACAAATAAATAGATATGTTTATTGAGTCTGCATGGTGTTGGGTGGTTGCGAGTGTTGGGGTTATATTGAGGATGAAGGGAGTATTAGTCCCAGGGCTTCCCTGGAGGAGGAGAGGATTAAGAAGAATCTGTCTGAAGGTGAAAAGGTCTCATCCTTTCTAGTGAAGAGAATATATTTCCTAGGAGAAAGTATATTTTCAGCAAAGTTTTTTTTTTTACTTAAAAAAAAAAAAAGGAAATCAAATGGTGTGCATGATAATGACAAAGTGTAGAAATGCACTCTGGCAGTGGACAGAATTTAAAATGTAGACATTATACTAAATAGAAAAAGAAGAGGTATGCGGCTCTTTTCTTCTGAGGTCCAGATGTGTTTGCCACATTGACTGTGCTTCATTTACTGTAATTTAAAGAAAATTGAAGGGAAAACTTGTGTGTGTGTTTCCATTTCATTTAGTGTGCACACGAATGGGTGTAAACATCTATACTCACATCCATCTGTGTGCTGCAGTACTGATACATCTCTACATAAATTGCTTTGACTGTCAAGTTAACTTCTTTTGAAGGAGCACCAGCTGGCCTCACTGTCTGCTTTTGGGCTCTCATATAATCACTGAAGTAGGTGACTACCTGCCTTGATGCCAGAGGATGTACACTACCTATATTGCACTTTCCTGTGAAAAAGATAGAATCAGACTTATCAGAGCCTAATTACACTCAGTACTTCCAAGCTTTACTCTGTGCTGTTGGCTCAACCTGATTATATCCATATTTTTTAACATTATATATTATCATTTTATATCTGTTTTTAATTAAGTTCACTCACCTGACCTTTTTGATGGTTGCTAACAGATCAATGCCCAAAAAAGACAGAATGATCCAAAGTTGTGTTATATGTTATGCTACAGTAAAGCTGCCTTTATTGTCGTTTCCTATTTTCTTATTGTTCAAAGATGTTTGGTAGTGGACTGTCTCACCACAGAGTGGAAAGTTCCATTTTAACTCCAGGAGAATTGGGACAAAGCAGTATGAGGTGAAAATGTTAAAAAAAAAGTGCAGACATTTCCCTTAAATTACATCAGTATAAAATGACAAATTATATAGCAGTGCAACTGTTCCACAAAAAGAAAACAGCAGGAAGATTGCTGTTCCTAGTCTAGTTGTTATAGTAGTGCATAATGGCAGCACTCCCAATGTGTGGTAGATTAATGTCTTGTCAGAGGAAACATCCGCAGGGCTGCCACAGCTATCTGAAGATGTGCTCTGTGTCTTATATCCACTACGGGTCTCCAGGGTAGCCCATGCCGCCGAGCAAATATCTGTTCGTTATTATATTGTAGTTTAGGGAAAGAAAAAAAAAGGCGGCGCAATCACAAAGCTGTCCACGAAAGTTTCAAATTGAAGAAAAGTAGTGCTGAATGTCCCCAAGAATAACCCGGTTTCCTGAAGGAAACATTACATTCGGAGTTACTTGTGTTGCAGTTGCATTCTTTCAAGTTAGGGAAAGGTTAATTTCCCTTGATCCTACCTTGAAGTAAATCAGCTTTGAAGAAAATTCATTAGGCACCTTCCCACACTGCACCTGTTTGAAGCCATTTTGTTTTTCATGGTTTTGTCTTCCACAATTAACACTGAGGCTTAGGGTCACTGATTGCACAGCCCTGAGCTGATGTCGCCAGTTCTTTCATGACAGCTAATCTGTTTACATTATTTTTTCTTCTCTTTTCCCCTTGTCTTTTCACTCCTTTTTTGTTGTTGTTGCATTTGCTTGTCTTTTTCCTCCCTTGCCTACGTCTTGGCTTGCTTCTTCTCTCCTACCCTTATCTGCAGGTAACAGTATACTACACTCAGCTGCAGACAGTGTGACGAGTGCTGTACAGAAGGCCAGCCAGGCTCTGAACGAGCGTGGTGAGCGATTAGGCCGGGCTGAGGAGAGGACTGCAGACATGATGAACAGTGCTGAACAGTTTGCTGTCACTGCACACAAGGTGAGTCCATTTGTTACTAAGATGCATTACAATACGTAACCGCAAGGTGGGATTACTATTTTAATGTAGTACGCTGGAATTCTGACTTTGAGATGTTGCAGAATTACCAGTCATTATTGATGAAGATGAAACCTTTTCCAAAACCTGAGCATGTCTGCTCTGTGAAGATAATCATTTTTTCCCCCCTTCACTGACTCCATTTCATAGTTCTCTATAGGGTGTTCCCTCACTCTGCCTCAATCCCACATCTCTTCTTCGTCAGGAAAACTAATTGCATGCTGTTTAATGAGGCTATTAGTGCATGATCTTTTATTTTTATTACTTCAAAACAAGAGCAAATATTGTATTGCTTTGTAACGAGCACACCTGATTGTGATCATCATATATCTAACAACATCGTAAATCAGACGCCTCGGGTTTGCAGCTTGCTGTTCAACAACACCATTCACTGACAGGCATATGATTTCTGGCCATAGTGGGATATCATTGACTTTAATAGTAAAGCCATCTGCTACCTTTTGAAGCTGAATGATGCATTGCGCCTTGTAAGCCACGGTGAGATAATTGAAAGACATTTGAAGAGTATTGCATGGCCCTCTCACAGCTAAAAGACGTGTTTCCCTGCTGTGAGAAATGACAAAAACTGTAATAACCACAGGGGAAAAGCAGGGAAATAGCTTTGGTGGTTTTAGAGCATGACTGCACAACCCCCACGAAGAATTTTTCATTTTTGTTTCCCATTTCACTTGATGCCATGAGCATCGAGTGAAATGTGTTATGAAATATGTTTGAAATATGACATGTTTCAAACTTGTCATTTGTCTTGCACGTTATCAAGATTCATGCCGTTGCCTGCCTGAAATCCTCAGTTGAAAGCGCTTTGGTAACCTTAGAGACGGATAAAAAGTCTTGTCTTATTCTGTTTGAGGATGACTTTGAGAATGGATTGGCTGGCTGGAATGTGAAGGATTTGGGTTTTTTCTTCCTACATTTTAACATTAAGCATCTGTACTGCTGCGAGTAGGTCACCTTGACTCTTCGTCTGAGTCCACTTCTGCAATCCCTTGTTGACAGCTACATAGCTGCACTCTTCAGCTTTAATCCGAACCCCTCATTTTTGTGTGCTACTTTACTGCCCCCACTTGATGGATGTGTAGAATTCTCCTCATTATTTAGCACCAACCTGTAGTCTTTCTGTGTGTGCGTCTTCCACACTTTTCTTGCATTCTCTCACTTTATTGTCTTTCAACCCTACCCAAATGTTTCTACAGCTTGCCATGAAGCACAAGTGTTAGACCACTGCCAAAACCAACTGGGCTAAGGGAGGGTCAGCAATCGCCAGTTGCTGTACAGGAGAAGGATTCCAGATTTAATTCTTTGTAAAAGTTTTAATATGATTAAAATTTGTTAACAATGTTAACATTTTAATGTTTTGGGTTACTGTACTCCGGTGCTTCTCGTTCCTAAAGACGGATCGTGCAGGGGACCGAAGAGAGGTAAACAAAACTGCTTGACGCTGTCAACTGAATGTTTCATGCTTCTGTTTGCCAAAAAAAAGTTACAAGCCACAGCTATGACTCTACTTGATAATGACAGTCACTCAAGACACTTCCTCTTTTCGTTCGCTCACACACAAATGAGAGCGTACACGTGTTGCCAAATCATCATCGGCAATTACTCCCTCCCAAGGAACAGCTTGGCTCCCATTTATACTGGTTATTTATGAGAGCTGCGGTAATTATGAAGTCTTAATTTATGAGTGAGGGCGCCCTCTGATTGCTCGACTTTGGATTGGCTGCCAGTATATAACATATAAATAAGACACATATGTAAAAATAGCCTAGATTTGATGCCTACGTTGTATTTTAATAGATATTTGTGGGAGTGGGAAGTCGAATGAAAGGGATGATCACATTTCTGTTTGACATTTAATGTTTCCTTTTCTGCTCTGATTTCTGGACATTAAACTCGGACCATAATTTCAAAATCTATCAAAACAGTATTAGTTAAAAAAAAGTTTAAGATATGATTTCATAAACTGCTGATGAGACTGAGTGATGAGTGGTTTGGGTGACAAGATATAAAAATGTTGAAATATTTTTCCCTCTTGTTATGTGTCTGTCATTGAAAAACAACCTAAACTACATGGTATAGATTTTGGGAAGTGTACTTGAAGATTTCATTTAAAGAATAAGCTTTTAAAGTATATGAATTACTCTGTCTAATACTTTATGTTAACAGGGGTAATTCAGTAAGCCAGCTTCTGCACTGTAAAAAGCAACATGTAATTCTTCTTCTACTATTATCTCGGTGTCTGTAGAGCTAATTTGTCCCTGAACATGGGGATGCTTTGAAACTGATCCCGGCTGTATTTCAAATCTAAACTCTTCAGTAGTCATACCTTGTGCTTATTGTGTAACTTGGGTTGGTCATTATAATATGTATGCTGATAAAGGACAAAATGTCTTAAATAACAGCAGTGGCGTGTGGTAGTTTTCTTCTTTTAGTTTTTTCTTTTTCGTTTGTTTCTTTTTTTTTTGTTGTTGTTGTTCAATCCGCTCACTGTTCGTAACGTTGGCTTCTTTGATGGCCTGACACCGCCCTCACGCTTGAGATGTATTTGATTTTTTTATATTTTCAGTTTTGTAATTCATGATGTTACAATGCACTGACGAACCTTATCTTGCAGAACACAGAGTTCACTAATGAAATGTTCCGGTTGCCTAACACTTGTGTGCTTTTATTCCTCTAACACTTTTGATGTTACTTGTTTTAATAAAAAAAAAAAGATATAAAGACAAATTTATATTATTCTGTGTCCTTTTTATAGCCAACTCGAGCAGTTCAGTCAAACAGTGGAATCAAAGTCCATGATTTTATGGACTGCTGTTTACCGTTTTGGATTTAGCTCACATTGTTGTTTCTGGCTTGTAAACAGAACACTGCTACAAAGTTTAGTGTCTCAGAGGTCTTTATGCCATTTTCGCTGATGTTCACAGTTCCACCTCATCTTTCATCATCTATAATACTGTAAGATATGAAATAAAGTCCACTCCACAATCACAGTAAAATGCTTCCTTTTTTCCTTTTGTGGCCTCTTTTTATGTCTCTCACCTCAGTCTGCTGAGGTTAAACTCCAAACCCTATAAGCACATTGCAAGCACTGAAGAAAAAAAATGCATATTTTTATATTGTCTTTGCATTATATTTACTTAAATATAGACTTTAAGTCAAACTATTGCATTCTGTAACAACCCACCTCTTTGGAAACAGAGTTGTGTGGTTGTTTTGCTACACGTTCCCAATTAGGTAGCTTCCTTTGAAGGTGACTGAAGAAGATGTTTGTAGCTTTTATTACAACTGAATGAAATAATCTGTATTACAAGTCATGAGGAGGTAATTTAAAATTTTAAACAAACGCAGTGATGCTCCAAAAGTTTAAAATAATTGATTGGAGGTGAAGACGATGCTTCCGTGAGTAGGGAAACCTTTGGCATTCATTGGTGTTTGCCGTCACTTTAAAACTAATAAATATAATTTTTACATTTGATTCATTTCTCTTGTTTCAGTTGCAAAGGGTAAGTTGACCATAATGGCAGAAAGTCTAGACAGTCTAAGGCTGATAGAACTAATCTTTAAAATTCACTGACCCCAGTCTGGAACATGGGGTCAGAAAAATGTGATGGAAATAAATGCACCGCACTAATAAATACATCAGAGGATGTATTTAGACATTTTTCACTACAGCCATTTTAACATAAAACAGTTGACATGGGTCTAATCAAGTGGTTTTCAAGCAAACTGCTAATAGTAAATTTTTATAATTCTTATTTTAGCATTCTTAAGCATTACTGATGTTCTGTTTGGACTCTAAGGTCCCCCTATTGGAACTGCTAAGCATATTTTAATGACCTTTAAAAAATAAGTACATATATATATATTTCTTTGGGTGGCAGTTTGGGAATAAGTTTTGAGTTTTGGGAGGACATTTCCAGGATAAAACCATGAGGGAGATGAGAACTTCAGAAAGAAACATTCAGCTAAACAGGTGGAGGTGGTTCTCCGAAAAGGAAGAAAGGAATTACACTAGGCAGGTGGTGATGATGGATGTAAGGTAGAACTGTAATGGGGGTGGATGTGGAATGGAAAGGGGAGAAAACGGGTGAACATGTGGGTAGAGAACAAATTAAAGGTACAGAAGCGATAGAGGTGGTGTGGAAAAAATTTGGTGGGAGTAGAGGAAAGGAGAGAGATAGATAGATAGATAGATAGATAGATATATGCACAGCAGAAGGACAGATGACAGTTAGTGACAGAACAAATATCTGATCTATAGCTTTAGAGAGAGCGGTAAGTGTAAGACTCACTGAAATCTGTGCACAGGACTATTACTCACTCTGACAGCACTGTGCATCAGCCCAGATTTTTGTCTTGAAACCCACCATCTCTCCTCTCTCTCCCTCTGAGCTCTAGAAACAGTGAAGTTCTTGGAATTGTCTACTGTTTTAGCTAAGATTACAACCCGGTTCATTTGAATACTGTTTTGGATTCCATACTAATTGACAAAACATTAGGACCCTGTTACTTTTTCCACATGTTGTTTTTATATGTTGAAGTTTTATATCTACAAAATTGGCATTATGCTCTTTGAAAAAGAAAATTTTTTTAAGTTCTTTTTACCTCTTTGTCAAATCCAGGAAAAAAAATCAAATACTTAGAAATTGTGAAGACATTTTACGTTTGATTAATACACCAAGCACAGCTGAACTTCCTCTGTACACCACTAGATGGTGTGCCAGCCTTGTAGAAAAACATCAACTCTTATTGGTTAGCATTGGAAGGGGATCAGGTGGTGAGATGGAAGAAATGACTGAGACGTGTTCAGTATCTGTAAATGCTGGTTACTGACAAATCAGAGCAAATCACTAACCTGAAGATGGGTCGTGATTCATTTCCAGTAACAGATACATTATCAATGTAATTATGTAGGAGGTTTGTAGTGTAAAATATTGTCTTGCTTTTTTCTTTTATTAAAAAATATAATCCATATGCTGTGTTTTGTAATAACTGCTTATTACAAGCAGTAATAGAATAGAATAAACCTTTATTATCCCACGGATGAGAAATTTCAGTGTTACACAGCTCCTGTAGCAAGGGGAATACAAGATATACAAGGAAGACACAAAGTGGTCCTATACATAAGCAACTGAGGTTTGTATATACAGGTAACGATGTACAGAAATATGTATAGAAAAAACTGTACGGAGATACAGTATGTGTAAAATGTACAGTGAACAAACAAGCTGGTGAGTAAGATGACCAAAGGATGTTAAACTGTGTAATAATGGACTGTTAGCAATGGTAGAAGTATGCGTAGATGCTGCAGTGCCACGTTATAAAAAAATACCCCCTTGCAAAATTGTGTTTACAGCATAGGTGTAAAAGTATGAGTAACATTTATTTAATTTATTTGGTGTATTTCCTCAAATATAAAACCTCTGTGTGTATGTTACATGTTTAATATACATACATATAATGCTGAAGAGTTTAACTGAGGTCAGAGTGAACACATGTGCTACTTAGAAAGGCTGTAGACTCTTAAAAAATCCTAAATTTTCCTTATATATATTGTAGATGAAAGAAATCATAGAATTTATTTTAAAATATTAACTGAGACTCATCTCAGTTAACTTTTTTTTTTCACATGTAGTGAACACTGGTGTGCATGTAACACTTTAGTAATGTATTTCTTTAGTGATCTTGGCACAAGACGGGAGAGTTTGTGCAGTCAGGTGTCACCTTGAGAGCTGCATTGACATTCCTGTCAGCCAGGGAATTTGTGTCACTTCAGCAGAGCCTTGGTGGCTGTCTGACTCTTTAACTGGCTGGCCAACCACCCTCAGGGCAACTTCTTTTTAATCTGCCAACCACCCCATAGCCGCACTGGAGTAATTACAAGTTACACCCAGAGGTTAGAAGGATGAATGAATTGGGACTGCACCTCTACTTCTCATTATCGCATACAAATCTCTGCAACAATTCCTGAGTAGACCCATTAGCCAGGACAGGATTTTACCTCAAAGTTAAAGTTTAAAATTGACATTAACTGCAGCTTTAAGGTATTCAGGATAGTGAGATGCAAAGCCATGTGTCTGGAAAGGACTTTTACCAACTGAGTACACCAAAAGAAAAGTGCAATAAAAACTTTTGCATTGCTTTCCTGACCTAATTAGTATAATTAATATGAGTAATTAGTTTGTAATGTATTTTTGGTTATAGTTTACTTAACAGGATTAATAACAATAATCTACAGACTTTATCAGTATGTACGCAGATATAATGAAGAGTTCTAAATCCGTTATTACAAAATACAAAAATTAAGCACAGAAGTAGCATTAAACTAATGAGCTAATATTATTTGAAACTAAACTTTAAGTTTGTGTTTTCTTTTTATCTTTAGAGGAGGGATGAAAGCCAATTTTATACTGGCCTCCAAAGCCCAATATATTAATATTAATCTGTGTTGCACCTGGTTGGTGAACATGGCACCCCCATAGTTATTTCCAGTTAATTGATCTGACATACTGTTATGGCAGAACCTACTGTTACAGTGGCCTTTTAGCTGTTGATTGGCATATGTGTTATGATGGCTTTTTGCTATAGTACTTATTTTTTGTTTGTTGTTTAAGTTAATATTTACATCAATCCAACTGCCAGGTATCCAGATGATAAGTCATGTTCCTTGTTCTTTAGGGTCTGTATTTCAAAACAGTCAATGTAAATTAAAATAAAATGCACTGTGCATTGTTAAAGTATGTATTGCTAATATTTAATTGCAGTAGTTTAGTAGTAGTCTAAGTCTAGTAGTCTAATAGTAGTAGCAGCAGCAGTAGTAGTTTAATGATGAACACCATCATCATCTGCCATTATTTTAGGTAATGAAGTAGATGGTGCATAACTGTTTGCTGTCTCTGACCTGTTGACATAACCACATGCTTTATGCCTTCCTCTGTTATTTTATCCCATACCCTTAATAGAGCAGCCCTCAGCTCTTCCTTGTCGGAACCAATGCAGCTGTTCAAGCTGCCTTAGCTTTCCTGCTGTTGCTGTGCTGCTGCAAGCTGCTTTGCAACCCATCTCCACCCCAGCCCCTCCTTTCATGCTGTATCTGACTTAAGTGGGCGATCGTGGCTCAAGAGTGGGCAGTTTGTCTTGTAATCGGAAGGTTGCCGATTCGAGTCCCGGCTCGGACAGTCTCGGTCGTTGTGTCCTGGGGCAAGACACTTCACCTACCGCCTACTGGTGTTGGATAAAGGGGCCGATGGCGCGATATGGCAGCCTTGCTTCTGTCAGTCTGCCCCAGGGCAGATGTGGCTACAACTGTAGCTTGCCTCCACCAGTGTGTGAATGTGAGAGTGAATGAATAGTGGAATTTGAGGGTCTCGAAAAGCGCTATATAAATGCAATCCATTATTATTAATCCTTATTTGCTGTCACTGATTTCTGCCCCGTTTAAGTGTACAGATGAGGAAATACCAATTGTTTCACTTAATACAGTTACTTTCAACACTAAGATATGAGAACAGATACATACGGCAAGGCAGCTAAAAATAGACAAAAGGTTAAATAGCAGCAAAATAAGATGATCTTACGCCATGAAGCAGTCAGTCAGAATACACTGTTTACCTTGGCTGTGCTGAGATATTCATAGTCACTTGTCTCCAACAAGGAGCTGCATCTCACAGACACAGAGTCAGCACATCTGATGGAGAGGAGGAGGGGGGAGTTCACAGCTACAGTCCCACCACTACTGCTGTCCAGACCCGTTAATTATTAGTGCTCCTTGTCACATGCAATTAACTGCAGTACTGTGTGTCCTGTTCGACTGGGGAGTAAAAGTGGGAGAATAAAGATTATGTTAATTGGCAGAATTAGGATTTTATGTAAGGAAACGTCAGAGACCGGTGCAGCTTGGGTCACTTCAATGATTGCCCACAGTGACTTGGCAGATATGTAGCGAAGTAAAGTGCACAACAGCTGCTTGCTCTAAATCAAGCAGCCTATC